ACCCCTTTAAAAGAAATACTACATACTGAAATATCTGACACAGTATGTACAAAACATATACATTGACAATTACAAAACATTGCTGAGAGAAATTAAAGAACACCTAAACAATTGGAGAGGTACTCTACGTGCATGAGTCAGAAGACTCAATATTGTTAAGATGTTGGTTCTTCCCTACTTGGCCTGTAGATTCAACATGATCCCAAGCAAAATGCATAGGATTCTTCCATTTTATTGTAGAAGTTGACAAACTGATTCTGAAATTCAAATGGAAATGCAAAAGACGTAGACTAGCCAAATCAACTTTGAAAAATAACAAAGTTGGAGAACTAACACTACCTGATTTCAACACATCAATTTCTGTATTGGCACAAAGATGGGCAAATAGAACAGAATAGAGTCCACAAATTGACCCATACATATATGGACAACTGATTTTCAACAAACATCTAAAGGTAATTCAGGGTAAAAGGATAGTTGAAAAGGATAGTCTTTTCAACAAATTGGATTTATACAAAAAGAAGAAAGTGAACTTCAATACATTACCTTGCACCATGTAAAAAAAAGTAAATGGCTCATGGACCTAAATGTAAAACTCAAATATGTAAAACGTGAAGAAGAAAGAAAATCTTTGTGACTTTGGATTAGGCAAAGATTTCTTAGACATGACACCAAAAAACATGTCTTGTTTTACGATCCACTAAAGCAGTTAATAACTAGACTTTACCAAAATTAAAAAGTTTCTGCAATTTGAAAATATTTGCAAATCACATATCTGATGAGCTCATATCCAGAAAATAGAGTTCTCAACACTGACTCGTAAGAAAACAACAGAATTTTAAAATGAGCAAAAAAAATTTAACCACTTCATCAAACAAGACATACAGTGACAAGCACATGAAAAGGTGCTCAAAGTCATTAGTAATTAGGGAAATGTGAATTAAAACAGCAATGCAGGTATCAGCGCATACCCATTAAAATGGCTAACATGTAAAAGACTAAACATGTTAGGATACGGTGCAACTGGAAGACTCATACACTGCTGGTGGGAATGTAAAATGGTACAACCCTCATACGACCCAGCCAGACCACCCCTAGGTATTTACCCAAAAGATAGGAAAATACATGTCCATGTAAAGATTTGTACAGAAATATTCACAGCAGCTTTAATGATAGGAGCTGAAACCAGAAACAACCCAAATGTCCATCACCAGGTGAATGGATAAACTGTCGTGTATCCATGTATTGGACCAGCACTCAGCAATAAAAGGAATCATCTATTGATACACACTACAACACAGATAAATCTCAAAACAATTTTAAGTGAAAGTAGCCAGACAAAAACAGTATATACTATTTGATTCCATTCACATAAAATGCTAGAAAATGCAAACTAATACAATGTATAGTGACAGATGGCAGATCCCCAGTTGACTGGGGGTGGCATGGGTCAAGAGCACGGAGGAATGGCAAGAGGGTGCTTACAAACGGGCACGAGGAAACTTCAGGGTCATGAAACCCAACATGCGTGGGCTCGCTGCTTGCTGAGGGTGATGATTTCATGAGTTTATACTCAAAATATGTGCAGTTTATTGTATGTCAATTACAGCTCTATAAAGGCATTTTTAAAACAAGTTCAGAGCTGTATAACAGAGTTGACAAGCATCAGCATACAGATGGTAGGTAGCTAGCAACACGAGAACATGAGCATGAAAACAGGCAAGAACATGTAGTTACATATTTAATAAATGTTGAGTATCTACTATGTATAGGTAGTACCCTTGGGACTGAGGGTACGAAAATGACCACAACCTTGGCTCTTTATAATCTAGTGTTGGGATCTCGTGTTATCAGCAGACAATTATTATAGTCTTATGTGTGCCCTAAGGAGAGAAATGAAAGGGCTCCATGACAGCAGTGCGAAGGAGAGTGACAGCCAATGCAGAAGTCTGGAAAGTAGAGGGTACACAAACAGTTGGGAATTATAGCTTTAGGGATGTTCATTTGCATAAGCCCCTTCAAACCCTCTATTTAATTTGAAATTCTACTCTTGTGTTTTTCCTAAATAAGACCTCCTCACCCACCCACCCATCAAATTGTATAAATTCAGGCCCCACAAAAATCTGGATTTGCCCTTACTGAGGACATTGGTTCTTCTTTTGGCCCGCTCAGAATCTAAGCTCCCGCCTGTATTTGGGGGATTCCCTAAATCCTAGTTCCCACCAAGGCAACTTCCTCTATAGAAGCTGAACTTGCATTCTCAACTTCCCTTGGAGTTAAAGGCCCGGACACTTGACCTTGGCTCTGCCAATCACATACATTAGTAGCTAGCTGACACAACGAATCAAGAAGGGACCTTCATTCATTCTCTCTAGGTGAAGCAGCACCTGTATTGAAATCAAATTTCTGTAGCAGACAGTAGTACAAAGCTCAGTGTTTTATGCTTAGCAATGGTGGCATTTCCTCACCAGACCAGTTGTGCAGTAGTTTTGTACTTTGTTCCTAGCTCTGCGACTCTGATTGACATTCTCTAGCCTTTTAGTGTATTCTGTGAACTGCACAAGTCTTCTAAGAAAATCTTTTATGCCGAAAACCAGAATCCATCTCTGTTGCTAATGACCAAGAACCCAAACTGACAAGACAATTTGGTATTTGGAAGTGGAATGCTACAAAACAGGCCCTACGATGTATAACCGACCGGCAAGCGGACGAGGCAGAATGGAGGGGGCTGAGGACAACTATTCCAGGCTGGGGAAATGGCGACTCTGAGACAGGTCATCAAACTTACACTAAGAAACATACTGTACAGCTGAGAAGCCCTGGAGAGTGTCTTCTTCCCCGTGCTCACACTAGGTGTGACAGTGAAGAAACCCGGGAGCCACAGCTGATCTGAAAACATCACCTGGATCCTCATGAAACTGGGTCGGGTAACTGAATGAGACAGGCTCATCTCTCTGGGCACAAAATATGTTTCATGTAGGCATGAGCCGTTTTGAAAATGTATGCACAGGAAGAAGGGTGTGCATGGGTGGTAGTAGGCTGCATCATTCTGCCCTCATTCCTTCTCTGGAGCACCGATTTTGTTTGGCTGTCCATCTCCCCAACACATGACTAAGTTATTGATGGCATATTGCATTGTGTGTTCACCACCCAGTGCTCCTTCCGTCACCATATATTTGACCCCCTTTACCCTCTTCCACCACCCCTGCATCCCCTCTAACCCTCTGGTAACCACTTCACTGCTGTCTGGGTCTATGAGTTTTTGTTTGTTTGTCTTATTTGTTGCTTTCAGTTTTATATCCCACATATGAGTGAAGTAATATGGTTCTTGATGTTTTCTGTCTGACTTTTTTCACTTAGCATGATAATCTCAAGGTCCATCCATGTCATCACAAATGGCAGAACATCTTATTGTTTTCTAATTTTTGGAGCTTGGTAATCCACTGTGTGGTGTCTGGAAACTGCCATTTGGCATGGTAGAAAGGAAAAATGAGAAGATGATGTTTTGCAATTCTAACCTGACTAATGGAGTTTGTTACATAAACATTTAATAACACTGTAAATACTAGCAACATTTTCTGTATACTTGTTAAGAAATATTTGCTTGAAAACACAAACACTGAGAATTTTTTTACATGATTTATTTAATAATAAACCAATTAAAGATACAAAAAATGTTTAGAGGATTCCAAAATTTAAATTTTTGTTTAAATACAAATTCACTCTGTAATATGAAAACATGTAGCATTAGACCTCTAAACATGATTTTTTCATCTACAAAATTTCTTTGCTATACTAGAAAATTTGCAGAAAACAATTTTTGTTGTGAAATTAAATGTACATTATTTACAGTTGAAAAAGTAATCTAAAAACTTTTATTTCAGAAACTTGGATATATATGTATATTATCTTTGTATGCAATCCCAACTTCCAGTAAAAAAAAAATCCAAAATATAAAGCAATTATGCTTTTATAACAACTGACTACTCAGATTAGCCCACAGCTTGGTTGCTTTCTGGGCCCTTACGAAAGAGTCTTGACTCTTTCAGAATAGCAGTGTATCATTTAGCACTCGAGAAACAAAAGTTTCCTAAGAGACCACAGTGCACAGGGGCCTAAAGAATTAATGAACAAAGTATGGAGAATTCAGGTTCATAGCAGGTCTTACAGATAAAAGAAAATGAATTTGGTAGGGCCACTTATTTTTCTGCAATATTTTAGCTATATTTACATGAGGAAATAAGCTGATAATGTTTTAATTGATATAACTAAAGTAGAGGAGTTAGAATCCTAAAATTCAGAACTAGAAAGGAAACTGAAGACCATCTAGTCTATTCCAACGCATCCCTTCCTTTTATGGGAGAACTGAGCCCCAAAAAATCAAGTGGCTTGCCAAGGTAACACAACTCGTTAGACGAGCCACTCTGAGGCTGATGCTTTTATACTTCAGAAACAGGTTCAGCCACATCATGGGCACATTTCAATGTTCAATGTTATATTTTACATATTCATAGTTTATTTATACAGTGCAACCAACCGAAGTCAATCTAGTGAAATCATAATTTGAACAAAGCATAAAATAGGTGCCTTGCATTTGAAAGAGTCAAGACTTATACAAGTGGAATGAAAATAGTTCCTATATAAATTTCCTGTTCTCTTCTATTTAAGTATTGCATTTACAAAAGAATCAGAAAAAATACAATGTAAAATTAAAAAAGAAACTTTAAAAATGGTTATGATATAGCAACTGGAAAAAAATCTTCAGAGAATGTCTTCATAGTATAAAATGCCTGTTCCTTCACAACTGAATTCTGAAACATTTAGAGAATAACGAATACCACTTTGGTTTTCCTCCCTCACCTAATGAAGTCAAAATTAACTCTATTATTTCTTCACAATTAACTACAAAATTAGAAACGTCTCTAGAATTTGTCTTAGAATCAGATAGCTTGCATACAATTGGAAATGTTCAATTCAAAAATAATCACCCATAATTCCTTTGGTATTTTCATTAAAAAGACTTGGGTTCCAGCAGTTCGTTTTGTTTCATAGCTACCTGAGAGGTAAATCCATTGGAATTGGAAACCACCATCACGTAAGGCTGCTGCTCCGTTTTCTCAGTGTCTTCTTTCAAATTATCTTCAACTTCCTTTTTCTCTGCTTCCTGTATAAGAGTTTTTGCTTCTTGAGCTTTGATAACTGAAGTGATTACAGTGCCAGGTGGGTGGGCAACCAGCTGTGAACTGCGAGGAGAAAAGGTCACCACAGGGGTCGTAGCACTGAAGGATGGAGATGAAGCCACACTGACGGTTCCATTGCAAAGGGACTGCACGTTGCTAGTAAGAACCTGCTGTACCTGGGCAGAGCTCAAGACGATCGAAGGAGGGGAGCCCGGCTTCTGAGACTGCAACATGACATTCTCTTTCAGTACTGTCATGGGCTGTGATGATGGAATGGCTTGTAAAATAAATTTCTGAGACCCAGCACCTGACGATGGATCTGTGCTGGCTATAACTGTTGTGATTGGCACTGTCTGGAGTGTTACTGTGTGCAAATGCTGATTCCCAGGAGACACGACCACTGGAACCTGGGTTGGAGCCTGTATAGTCCTATTGAGATTATGAAATAAAAGTGAGAAAATGACCATATTCTACATCATTTAAAACCTGAACATTGACAAGTCATTTTGACAAAATACGAGTTACGTATTTCAAATGCTACATGTCCCATATGTTCAACAATATAACAAACATCATTGCCAGGCCCTATATTAAACATTGTACAAACAGAAATGCTCAACATAAAACTGTCAGGCCACTAACTACCTGGTTAAAAAAAAAAAAAAAAGTCTGTACAAAATGTCACATTCACAAATTGGGGAGCAATTTTGTTGGAGGAAGGTATCAAAATGTTTGTATGAGCTGCTTGAAAGAAAATTAGGAATTTTAAAACAAATGAACTCACTCTCGTTATTTTAATATTTGGGGGGTAATGTCATCAACATGCTCATCCACAATTTCCAAACGTCATATGATTATAATTGTTTTCAACCTTTTTCTATAGAGAGGAAAAATGCTCATTAACTAAAGTAAAGAAACACCTCAGCCTTAAATTTATATGTGACAGAATTATCAAAAAAATTTAATACTTCATAGTTCCTATTATATTACATAAAACAAGTCATGAATATACTTAACTTCAGAGGGTTCTTTAAGCTGGCAAGGAAAGCAAAAAATAAAGCCAAGCTTTGGCAAAAATAAACAGAGGCTTGTTTTAGCAGTTTCCTCAGCTCAAAAATTTTCGCAAAAGCTACAATTTAACATAAAGTCCATTAACATAAAATCCAGTTTATGTAAGATTGGTAAACCCATTTATTGAAAAGGTACATAAATGATACTATGAGCCAATGTAATTTTAAAAGTTCACAGCTGTGATATTTATGGTTATGGCCATTGTTAATATAAAAAAGTGATTGAAAAAACTCAGCATCTGGGTCTCCACTGTGTTGCCTCTGAATTCCATAAAGCTATTTTGCAAAAGATATTATAGATTACTGCTACTTCAAATGGCTAACAGCTGGATTAGTTCCCATAAACCAAATGTTAATTATTGCTAGATTACTGCTGGTAAATTTCAGTAAGTTAGTTATGTGGCCTGTCACATATGTGAGAAATGAAATTCTGGAGGAGAAAACAAATGGGTTGGTGAAAAGATGAACAGATGACTCAGTGCAACTCAGTTCAAAGGAAGTGCAAAGACCCAGGGTGACTTGGAGCCCACCCGCTCATGCAGGATACTGAGTCCCAAGTTTAGATTGCCACCGACGTCACCACTGTCAGCAGCAGCTCCTGTGAAGGACAGAGCTAGAAGAGAATACAAATCGAGGAATGAAGGTTTCATCAGTGGCTAGAAATTAAGGCCAGATGCATGAATATTGGGCAGGCAGAGATGTGTGAGGAGGATACATTATAACTTAGGGAGCCAGGGAGCTTTTCCAAAATACACTGGGCCTCCCTTCGCCCCCTGCCCACCAGAATCAGGATATCTTGGGTAGAATCTGAGCCTGGGTATGGTACCTGACCCTACAGCCAGATACCATTTTTTGAATTAAAAAGACCCTAGGGCTTCCTATTCCCAGAGCTCATGTATATTTACATATAGATAAAATAGTACTTGGCAGGACTGGCAGAGTGGTTTAGTTGGTTAAGAGCTCGCTCAAGAATGCGAGCTCTGAGCAACAGGGTCGCCGGTTAGATTCCCAGCCCGAGCTGAGCTGCCAACAGGTTGGAAGGATGGCTCAGCTAAAAAAAAATAGTTCTTGGCATATAGTAACCATATGGATTGGATCTATAAAAACGTACAGCCTTACCACCCTATAAGTACTATTATCCCCATTTTACTTACGGAAAAATCAATGCACAAAGAGGTTGAACAGTTTGCATAATGTGAACAGGTAGATAAGAGGCCATGAGACTGCAGACTCTATGTGCTTAACCACTGCAACATCCTGTCATTGCCTAAGTCCTGAATAACTTCACCTAAGGATGGACAGTCCCTCTCACATCTTTAAACTATGAACAGTTACAACTCTTTAACACACACCTCTCCCTCTTTCCCTCTTTCAGGTGTGACATAAGCAATAATGTACTTGGAAATTTAACATATTGCTCATCAGGGCTACCATTAGACTTTCGTTCAAGTTAGAAAAAATATCCCTTTATTGAAACACCTGACTGCTATCTTCTGCAAGGAAATAAATAAACAAACTCATCTACAGTACCTACAATGTAAATATACTGGTTTATTCATATTAAATTCTAAAACAATTAACTTTCAGTAATAAAAAATTCAGATTAAAGGATAAAATACTATATAGCCTTTTCCCACCCACAGGAATCTTTAATACTTTTTTCTTAATGATTAAGCTGTCAGTTGTGTCTGGTTAAATTGTATTACATAAAAAAGTTATATTATAGTTAACTACTTTTTCAAAATCTCCTAAGCTTCTTGTAACCAACTGGTAAAATACTGGTAGTTTAAAATTCCTCAAACTTTCTGAAGCTAACAAAGATATACAATATAGTCATGCATTGCATAATGACAGGGGTCCATTCTGAGAAATGCATTGTTAGGCGATTTTGTCGTATGAACATCACAGAGTGCGCTTACACAAACCTAGATGGTACAGCCCACTACACTCCAAGGGTATATGGTACAGCCGATTGCTCCTGGGCTACACGCCTGTACAGCATGTCACTGTACTGAATGCTGTAGGCAGCTGTAACACAATGGTAAGTATTTGTGTATCTAAACATAGACAAAGTACGCTAAAAATGTGGTAAAAAAGATACAAAATGGCCCAGCCATATAGGGCATTTACCATTGAGTGGAGCTTGCAGGACTGGCAGTGACTCTGGGTGAGGCAGTGAGTGGGGGTGACCGTGAAGGCCTAGGACACGACTGTCCCCTATTGCAGACTTTATAAACACTGTCCCACAAACCCTTCCCCTACTTCTCTCCAACAGGGTCATAAATGGAACACTGGAGCTGTCAATGCTGCTCCATGAGCAGCGATGTGGGCTGGACGGATTGGAAATATCGAGAAACTGGCTGGGAAAGGCGT